TGATCTTTGAAAGTAAATTTTGCAAATCTAAATTTTTCTTTTCAAACTCTTCTAGTTTGATTTGCAAATCTTTGATTTACTTTCAAGATCGTTGTTGGTTTGGATATGAGTTTGTTTTCATTTTTCAATTTTGAAACATCATTTTTATATTTTAAAAATAATTTCTCATAATCTGAAGCCAACCCATTATATTCCTCTAATAACTCATCATAGGATAAATCATCAAAATCAGATGAGTTAGAGGTTACCTTAGAATCTTCCTCAAATGCCATCAAGCACAAATTAGCTACTTCTTGTTCCTCTTCATCGGAACTTTCTTCATCGCTCCATGTAGCCACATGAGCCTTGTGCTTATTCTTTGATTGACCCTTTTTCTTCAATCGTGGGCAATCATATTTAACATGCCCTGGCTTTTTGCATTTGTAGCAAATGATTGGGTCCTTCTCTTTCGGTTCATTTTTGAGGCCTTCATTTCGTTTGAATTTTTCTTCCTCGATAAGGTCTCATCATTTTTCTGAACCGTTTGGCAAACAATGTCATTTCCTCGTCATCGTTATTCGAATCACTCTCATCTTTTGTGGATTTGAAAGCAACTCCAATGTTTTTCTTCTTCTCCTTCTCCTTTGGTGTCTCGTCAATTTTGTCGAGGTCCACCTCATCTTCGAGCATCATTTCATGAGTGAGGAGTGACTTAATTAGCTCTTCAAGAGTTAAGGATGTTAAGTCCTTAGACTCGATGATTGCCGTCTTCTTTGATTGTCACGATTTTGGGAGGGAGTAGACTAACTTCCTCACAAGCTTTTCATTTGAAATGATCTCTCTATATGATTTGAGACCATTGACAATCGTTGAAAATCTATCCGTCTTAGCTTTGATATCTTCATTTGGTTTCATCCTGAAATTTTCATAGCTATGCGTTAGAATACTAATTTTATATTTCTTTACCTCATCGGTACCTTCATGAGTGACTTGAAGTTTGTCCTATATTTCTTTGGCGGTTGTACACGATGAAACTCTTCCGTATTCATTTGGTCCAAGAGCACAAAAAATGATATGGATGGCTTTGGAGTTGAGCTGGAACATTCTTGTCTCTCCTTCACTCCACAACCTTGGATGAGTGAGAGGTTTGATGTATCCTTCTTCTATAGCATTCCATGCTCCCATGTCACTTGCTTGAATGAAGTACATCATTCTATTCTTCCAATAGGCATAGTTAGCTCAATTGAAGAAAGGAGGCTTGTTGACGGGCATCGAATCGAGACCGGAGTCGAAGTTTGAAGTGGAGGCCATTTGATGACTTTGATAATCGATATAACTCTTCCCGAATCGACTCAAGAGGCGATTAAACCTTCAAATGAGTTAGGCTCTGATACCAATGTTGAGTTAATCGATCGACGGAATTAGCCAAGAGGGGGGTGAATTGGCAATTAAAATTCGGTGGAAGCTTTTGCAGAAAATTGAAAAGATTTGCACAGCGATTTAGAGTGGTTCGACTTTCTCAATCAAAGTCTACGTCCTCTACCTTAGCTATCCACACTAAAGATTTTCCAACAAATTCACTAATTTATTCTTTCTTTTGAGGCCAAAGAGATAACCTTACAACACCCTCAAGAATATACCCCAATTCTTGAGAACACTCTTTTCCCAAAGAGAAGATTACAAATTTGCAAACTTACAAGGAAAACCTCACAAGGTAAGATGTTTTCACAATTCTAGAACAAGAAAAGAACACTCAAAGATAATTACAAATGAGCACAAATGGTGTTCTTGAAAGCAAAATGAATATTGAAAGGAAAATTGGCTTGATTTGCACAAACTTGATGTTTGATGCTTTCTCTCTTGTTTCTCTATATTTTCTTATTGATCAAGGGCTTCAGAACTTGTTTAAATACACCTTGAATCACTTCTGAACGTTGGGGATAATTAATGAAGATAATATAGCCGTTTTGGTGTGAAAACAATTAATAAAACAGCTTGGAGCGTGGGGGGAATCGGTTCCCCCTCATAGGGAATCGGTTCCCTAAGTGTAAAATTCAAATATTTTGACCGTTGAACAGGGGGAATCGGTACCCTCTATGGAGGAATCGGTTCCCTCCGAGCATTCTGGAAATCTCGGAGCCAAACCATTCAGGGGGAATCGGTTCCCTCTGAGCAATCTGGAATTTTTGGCTTTGAAATGGTTCGAAATACTTTGAAAGATTATTTTGAAATGTTTTAAGATTAAAACTTAATTTTACACTTAAGTAAGGATTAAAAATGATTTTTGAATATTTGGAGTATGTTTGATATTCGAATAATATATCGAATACTTAGAAAATCATTTTGGAAAATCTTAAAATTCATTTAACTTAATTTGTTATATCGAAATATCAAAATGTTTTCAACAGAGGGGAGAGACCATCTCTCTCTAAAATCTATTTTAAATGAAAAAAATAAGAAAAAACATTGATATTTATAGAAAACTTTAGGGAGAAATTACACTTAGGTCCCTCTAATTTTGGCGTGTTTTTGCAAAATGGTCACCTAAAGGGATCGTTTTTGTAGTTTACCCTTTTATTATGCATGTTGTATATTTTTGGTTTAATATTTGTTTATTCCTTCTATGTTAGGCGTGTTTTACATTTTAGTCATGTATATTGTCTGTTTAATTTTGTTTAAAAATACTTAGGGACTTATTTAGTGGTTTTCTCTTTTTTATTTCTTATCACTAACTTTTTGGTTTATTTCATTCCAAGTCCCTCTACTTCATGTGTATTTTTTTTCAAGTCCCTGAATCTCTATGTTTTTATTTATTTCATTTTTGGCACTTATGATTAATTATTTTTAATTTAGTCACTTATATGTCATGTTTTCTGTTTTATTTAGTTCTAATTTTGGCATTTTATTTTTCTCTTATTTTATTTTAGTCCCTGAATCTCCGCATTTTTATTTATTTCGTTTTTGGCACTTATGATTAATTATTTTTAATTTAGTCATTGATATGTCATGTTTTTTGTTTTATTTAGTTCTGATTTTGGCACTTTATTTTTCTATAATTTATTTTAGACCCTTATTTTACTAAGCATGTCTAATTTTTATTTGTATTTTAATTTATCATGCTTGTAAATGTGTATATTAATCTAAATTTGTAACTTTGTTTTATCGATCGTTATAATTTCATGTATGTATGTATAAAAATGGAAAATTTCATTGTGCGGGAAATCTACAAAGACATCTCCCAACTATAAGGGAATGTGTCTTTACGAGGATTTTTCGCATAAATGTTTGTGTTGTATTTGATAATTTTCTTTGTTCCACGTTTATTTATTTCGATCATTTTTATCTCTTTTCATTTTTATATTGTTTCATTTTAGCTTATTTTATTTTTGTGAAAAATGTGAAATAATGTCTTTTTGTGAGGGGAATCTATCGGAAAGTCTCCTAACTACAAAAGAAGTGTATTCCCGAAGATTGTTCACACAAAAGGGCATTCATTATTCGAAAATTGGCATTTTTTGAATAAATTCGAATAAATAGAAGAATCGTAATTTAAATATATTTTTGAGTTTGTAATTCCCAATATTTAAACAATATATAATCGTTTAGGCACCAAAATTTAGGCGTTGTGGGGGTGTTAATCATTCCTCACACGTAATCGACTCTCGAACTCTTAAAAATGAATCTTTGGTAAAACGCAGACCATTTTTTGACGTTTAAGGTTTCCAACCTATCTAACTTAATGGTTGGAGACGACTCAAAAATCAAATTGTTTTCAAAATTACATTTCATCACATTCCCCGAATCAATTTTTTTAAGTCTAACGGATCCCCGCAGGAGACGTTATGACAACTTTCATTATTAATTCTTTAACAATTTAAAAAATGAATATATATTTTAATAATCATTAAAGTTGCAAAAATAAGACAGCTCGACATGAAGATATATATTTTAGATCAATATTTTTTCAGAAATATGAATATATCGTTATGGATATTTGTCATTTGTGTATGAATACGATTAATAACATTTTATGTATTGAATAGGTGTGGTAAATTTTATCTGAATTTAATTATTTAAATGAATTTATCTGATTTGATACGAATATAATTCAAATTTAATATGAAACTTAAAAAAATAAATTGAATTAAAATCGATGGATCTATAAATTTGCAAGAAGAGGCCTCAAACTCTTTAGGATCTAGTCTTCCAGCACAAAACTCTTAAAAATCCTGAATTCAATCAAACTTTCCAGTTTTATTCAATTTAGTATCCATGTCCATAATTTTTAAAAATTTCATTTTTAGCGTGATATGAATAAAATTTTGTAAACTTGATTATAGGGTATAATAGAGCTGAGAAATTCAAGCTTAAACTGGACTAGAAATTCGAGACTCAAAGTTTAAATGCAGTTCGTCAAAGTTGTACTTTTAAACTCAAACTTGATTTCAATCCGCTTGATTAAACTTAATTTGATCTCTTCGGCAGGTAATGATTAGCCCAATTCTGATTTACTTCATCTTCAAGCCATGATTTTTTTTTTTTTTTTTGTGGAGAAATTACTTCAAGCTATGAAAGAAATGTGCTTTCAGCACTTTCTGCCATTAATCCTGGCTGTTACTTTCAGATTTTATTTTTTGGGTTAGGAAAATGTTAGGACAGCCTAATTGAATATGATTTCGAACCTAAAATGTTACAAGTTTAATATAAAAAAGTTGAACAAATTTTGAAACAAATTCAGTTGCAAATTGCAATCGAAAAGTTATTTTACAAGAGGTTTAAAACTTACAATGAAGAAGGTTAAATTTTCGATTGCAACTGAAAATATTACAAAGAAAATAATATTTTAAATTTCAATTACTTGTCTAACCTAAAAAATTAGGCTCTAGATAAGATTTTCGGGTGAATCAGTTTCTGTCTACAATGGATTTCTTTCTGTTTTTAACCTTATATTTTTAGAATTCCCGGGAACGTAATCCAAGAGAAAGCAAAGGTAAATTCTCAAATCTGGAGTTTCAAGCAGGTGACAGCAATCAAAATGCTGTAAAGTTGACGCCAAGTTAAAAAGATATTAGAAATACTTGTGTTTTCAACTGATATGCACATTTACAAACTGTTCTGGAGTGAAATACCTAAGAAGAAACATTATACAGCATGCTATTAACGGCTGCGAGAAAACATAATCACAATCTTCAGAAAGAATTAGTGCGAATCTTAGATTTCCAGTTTTGTTGCGCAAGCAAGATGTGCCTGTTTTCAGCTCACACTTCGATATAAAGCATTAGTTCGAAGGTCGTCCATATTATCAATGTTTCTGTATCCATCAATCTCCCTCAGACCTGTGTAGCCTCGACGAGCTAGATATTCACGGTAATCATCTTCTACATAAAAGATCTTGTCTTCCGTGTGGACCGGTATATGATCCGACTCGTCATAGTGGCAAACTTTTATAGCCAAACCTGAGCTCAGAAGTTCGAAAATACACAGAAATAATATGCAACCCTTCATCAATTTATTTGACAACTTTTCTTTTTGTATCAGAAATAGTTGTATAAACAGCACGGATGTCCACCTACCTTCATCGAGGTGGAGAGTATAATTCCCTAAAGGCATTTCCCTGTCAAGGCTACGAACGATATTGTCTTCATCCTCCAACCAAAATGCACGCTTAGTTCTCAATCTGAAAGCAGATTTAATTGCCTCTCGTATGGCATCAGCAGTACCATCTATACCAACCTTTCGGGTGTAGTCCCCAAACTTGATAGTTATAACTCTTCCTCCATACGCTTGACAGTCCCCACCTTCCAAAATGAGCGAAATGAGTGTGAAAGAGAATAGGAGGTAAAATACAGAGATTTCTACCAGGACTAAAATTTTCATATCAGACACATTTGGGAGCCAATGGCCATAATCAAAGAGCATTTAACACAAGCACATTCAGTTGAGCAAGTACGAAGAAACCGTGACACACCATAAAAGACCATGCAAAACTGTCCTATTTAAAATTAGTTCAGCAAAATTCTACCAGAAGTTACCATTTCCAGGGGTCTCTCTCCAATTCCAAGGAGGAACTCCACTGGCTGCAACTGCATCAGCTGCAGCGATAGCAAGAGGATGCCCATCATGATCTAAACGTCTTTCGAGATTAAGCGTTGGCCTACCACTAGCTGCACACCAGAAAGCATGAACAGGAGACCTTTTAAGGCAATTGGATTGAAAAAAGCAGCACGGAAAATAAAGAAAATATTTTACGGTAAACCGATGTAACACACTTTGGTAAAAGGATGTTCAGTACATGCACAATCAAAGTTGTTTTCATTGTATGACTGGTGAAATAAATAGAGGGGACAGAAACTTGGCCTTATGAAAATATGCAAATAAATAGTTGCTTCCACAATAGGAGTTTCAAGATAGATACACACTTCTCAAATTATACCTCTTAAAGCTCCTAAATCCAAGCAAGAAGTTGATAAAATTAATGGCATTACATCCACTAGATTCTATGAATTAACCAAATTAGCTTGAGGAGAAATATTACCACAACCATAGAAAGGAGTAAAAAAATCAAGATAAACCAGAAGAAAGCGAACTCAAACTGAAACAACAATGTACCTTCTACATGACCAAATGATATGCCAGCATCCTCAAAACCTACATGAACATCCCCGAGTATTAAAGTCAAGCCATGCTGGTAACGTGTATTGAAGTCATAGTAATAGAAAAAAAGACCTAATATATGTTACAGTAAGAATGAAGAAACAAAAGAACAGTCTGGTAGCCTACATGAACACCCTTGCTACGAAGAGAGATAGAGAAGACGGCGTAATCACCGAAAGCAGGAGGCTAAATATTATGCACTATTTTCATGAAGCAATATGCACTAGAAAGGTATTATTTTGGCATAAGACATAAAACTCTGAATTCAGCTCTTCCAAAATAAAATTTGCAGATATCAACATGGTAATATCCAACTCTTATTAAAAAGGGAGTATTCTAAATTTAAAGGAGACCACAGAAGCCTAGGCCCTTCATGCAATATCTGGAAATTTGCTTTGCAAACTACCCATTCATGTTCTGCTGAGCATGACTCATATTCACGTAAACTGAATCCCATATGATTTTTCAAGTTTCAACACACGACCTTTTGTTTCACAAGAACGTATAATACATGTTAAACTACATAATAGAAATATCATTTAAAAGATGTAGTTGTGCAAGTTCTAACTTTCATAGGGATACATGAACTCAAACAAACCTTCTTCAAAGCACACATTAAAACCATAAAAAATTAACAGAAGCAGACAGTTCCTGTCAAAGAAACTCATAAGTTAAAGAACCAAATATATTTCTTTCTTCTAACGCAGTTAGTACTACCATCTTAAGCTAAGCTAAGCTAAGCTAAGACACAAGTATATACAGTGGAAACGCATTAAAGCCATAGCCTTTAAAAGAGAAACCCAGCAAAAACCATCATTTAATAACAGCACAACAACACTTGATTATAAATTCCACTTGTTAAATGCAAAATCAATTTATAAATGGAAATAGAGCACATACCCTTGTCAGCGAAATGCATAAAGGAATCAACTTTAGGAAGAGAAGTTGGACTCTTATAAGCATTCTTGGTTCTGTCCCTTAAAATTTCCTCAATTTCCTTATAATAAGACATCTTAGCCGACCCACTCCCTCTATCTCGATGCCTGGCCCTTTTAAACTCCTTCAACAAGTTCCTCCACTTGTCCGTACACATAGTGGGGGATCGATCGAACCCTTTCTCTCTCATCTTAGCCGAAATCTGCTCCCACAAGTGCTTAATGGATTTTGAGGTATTGAAAAGGCCGTCCATTTCTCGTCGGAGGGCGATAAGGCATCGAGTTTCGTCTTGTACCCAGGTCTCAGCTCGTTTCTTGGGGGCTTTGATTTCTGGGTCATCGCCGCTGCTTTCACCTAACATCATTAGCTGCTGGTGGTGGTGGTGGTGGTGAGGTGGCAAGTCTCCAATTGTGGTGACCTCAAAGATCATGTCACGGGCAGTAGCAGGATCTTCCTCTTTGTACAAATCTATCGAACGGGGTTTCTCCGATAAGTACATGGGTGGCTGGGGTTGAATCCGAATGGGAAACAGGTTACGTTTTGTTTTGATGATTAATGAGTTTTAAGGATTTAGAGAGTTGAAAAGGATAAGGGGATTCATGGGGGGATTTGATTAAAATTTGATGAGTGTGTTTGTAGAAATTTTAGCAGAGGAAGAGAGAGGAGAAGAAGAAGGGTCTTGGGCAGTGAGTATCAAATTTGATTTCATTCATTGATCGATAGATTAGCGGAGATATATGCCCTTGTTTTTTTTTTGCCTTTCACCCTTTCCCTCTGTAATTTTATTTTATTTCTGTTATTTAACTATTATTATTAAAATTATATTTTAATTATTTATAATTAAAAAAATAAACTTGATAATTTTTTATTTATTTTAATAATGATATTATATTACTTTATAATTATATGTAATACATTAATATTATTGTTATATTTTAATAATATATAATTAAAATAAAATCAAAACGTACATTAAATGTAATTTTAAAAATAATTAAACAAATAAAATAGAATAATAATGACTAATGTAATTTACCCTCTTTGGTTTTTACTTTATCCAAAACAATTTGGTCTAATAAATTTGTCTGTGGTCGTGGATAGTGTAATATCCCAAGTATTAAACTAGAGACTATATCGAAAAGATTTGATAATTTAAGATTTAAAATTTAATAAGTGGTAAAAGATGAGAAAAAAGATTTAAAATAGTGTTTAGACTAATTTGTATCAATAGAAAAGTTGAGGACTTGATCTTTTAAGAGGAAAATGAATTTAAAAATAGATAGGGATTTTTAAATAAGAAGAAAGAGGAAAGTAAAGTAATTTTTACACTTCTTCTTCTTCTTCCTCACGTAGGGGTGTTCTCCTCTCTAGCATAAGGTAAATTCCCATGAGCTATTGTTTTCTTTAAATTATGGGTTGCTTTAGTAACATTAAGTGATATATATGCACAAGGAAGGATTAAAATGAAGAGATAAGAGAAATAATGGGGATTTTATAAAATGGGTTTTGTTAATATATAAGTTTTTATTGATGTTTATTGGTAGATTTGACTTGTTAAAGAGTTAATTGAGAGATTAGAAACATTGGATGAGTGTAAAAACAAGAAAGAATAATGCATATGGGTGCATTGTTGGCATGAAAGAATGCCAAAGTTGAAATGCATATGCGTGCATTTTCAACATAAAAAATATGTTATAATTGAAAATGCATAATGATGCATGATTGTAATATCCCCAACCCATATCCGACCCAGATACGAATCTAAGATGTTACCTTGACTATTTAAAACGTTTACATTTATATAAATTATGGAAAATTTAAACTTTCATTACTATAAAGTTAACTTTTTACATAAATATGTTTAAAACATTACAAAATTGATCAGAGCATACATACTTCACGACTTTATTTATATGCCAACATATCTATTACATAAAAAGACATGCTGCGAAAGGTACTTCTGATCTGATCTTCGAGTGGAGATATGTTGTTTTGCGAGTCCTAAGCCTGATCTTCGTGCTTCTCAGTACCTACGTGTAAAACGCTTACACGCTAAGTCGTTGACTTAGCGAGGCATAAAACTATAATATTGCATTTCCTATAAATATGAACATGCAATGCCATTATTCAAATAAAATCATAACAATAATCTCATGATTCCATCATATTACATATGATTCATTGTAAACCACAATAACATAAAAGCATATAATAATATAAACATTTTTTATATATTTTATAGGCCCATATATATTACTGAGAACTTAAGGTATGTGAGTACATTGAGGTTGTGCACTTATGTTGTCACCACAACTCGTATAAGGGTCCACTGAGTGGCATGTGAAATATGTCCCAAAAGACCTATGTATATGTCCTGAAGGACCTATGTAACCATCGACTCTTGGCATGCCAACTATACATATAACTCTCATATCACATAACACGGGCATTATTATCATATTTCATACATTCATATAACCATAATTTCACCACATAATCATGTACTCATGTCATTTCTCTTATATCACATATTTCTTCTCTTCTGTCACATATCACATGTACATATGACCATCAATATCATATCATATAAATCATATAGCATGTATTAAATCATATAAACATATATAACTCATGCATGTGTTTATAATGATCATAATATATGCATCTTCATAACTATTGGACCATGAAAACTAATATAGGAAATAGACTTCTCATAAGTCTTATTTCCACTAACTACACCTATAGTATGCACTCACCTTAGCCTCACTTAATTTCAAATCCACCTCTATGATTTTATCTCTTTGGATCGATCCTAAATCTACAGTCGTTCCGGAACTTTCTTGTGTTCGATATCTACATAATCATACATATTATATACATATCAGTATTCCAAATATCATGATTCGATCCTTAATTTCTTAGACCAAAAAAGGCTAAATTTCATTTTCTACTTGGAGTAGTATCGGTACCCCCTGTAGGGTATCGATACTTTCCTAGTTGTGGTATCGATTCGAAGCCTGGGTATCGATTCCCATTTTGCATTCTATGATCCTCATGTCGAAAATGATACCGATACTGACCTTATAGTATCGATACCCTTGGTATTGATACTACCCTCTAGGTATCGATACCCCATAAATGCCTTTATCAAATTCAGGCTTATGGTATCGATACTGTTCAACCAGTATCGATACCCCTATACCAATTATCACTCTTTTACTCTTGAGGTATCGGTACTGGATGAAGCAGTACTGATACCCATAACCCATATTTCACTTTTTAAACTCGAAAATTTACCCTTATCAGCTCAAAACCTTCATCTCTTATTCCTTTTTATACTCTTAACTCAAGTACACATACTCAAACCAATTTCTATTCACCTAACACATCTTTATCTTCAAAATCTCCTCCTATATCTAGAATTTAAGAATCCTACCAAATTTCCAACGTGTTCTAATTTCCATTCTAACACTTCATATTTCTTATTTCAACTAATGACAAGTGAAATTTAGTTTCAAATTCTACTTATCAACTCTTTTCCAAGATTTCATTTAGAAACTCCTTATCTTTAATCCCTCATAATTTCTTCATCTTATAGTTTTAAGATAACTTAAGCTTTCCTTAAGCTTAAATATCCTCTAAGGATCAAAAACCAAACTTGATTTCAACGAATAATCAACTCACAAGAAAACTCACCTTTGCTATGGTAACTCACGACTGGAGAAGAAGAAGAAGAAGAGCGCTCTGGATATTTCCTTTCCCTTTTCTTCCCATCTCCACGTGTATATATCTCTTCCATATCTCATTTTTAATTCAATAATTGATCAAATTATCATTTTGCCCTTCCAATCATCATTCTTTGCTATTTATCCTACACAAAATTTTTCATATAAGTCCTTGCACTATTAAATTTGTCTACTTTAGTCACTAAATTTAAAGTTTTACAATTTGGTCACTAATCCAGTATTGAGGATGTTACAAATCTTCCCCTTAAGAGAATTCGTCCTCAAATTTTCACTACACAAAGAGATGGGGGTACTGATTCCTCATGTCCTCTTCACGCTTCCACGTTTCTTCCTCTATTTTATGATTCCTCCATAGTACCTTAACCAATGGAATCATCTTGTTCCTTAATTGTTTCACCTCGTGAGCTAATATTTAAACCGGTTCTTCCTTATAAGTCAAGAACCTCTACCTCTTCTGGTGTTATAATATGGGAGGGATCATACCTATATCTTTGAAGCATTGAAATGTGGAAAACACCATGAATTTTCTCCATTTTAGGTGGCAAAACTAATTTGTATGCTACTGGTCCCACTCTCTTAACGATTTCATAGGGTTTAATAAACCGAGGACTAAGCTTTCCTTTTCGTCCAAACCTCAACACCTTCCATGGAGACACCTTTAAAAATACTTTATCTTCGACTTGAAACTCAATTTCTTTCCTTTTCAGATCAGTATATGATTTATGTCTATCAGCTGCCGCTTTTAGATTATTCTGAATCACTTGAACTTTCTCTTTCACTTCTTGGTCTTTAAGCTTGTACCAGTTCAAGGGTGTATGACACTTTCTCCCATATAGAGCCTCATATGGAGCCATTTTGATACTTACTGGTAACTATTATTGTAAGCAAATTCAGCAAGTGGCAAGTATTTTTCCCACGATCCTTTAAACTCTATTACACATGCTCTCAATATATCCTCTAGAATTTGGATAGTTCTCTCGGATTGTCCATATGTATGAGGATGAAATATTGTGCTAAAACTCAATCGAGTTCCTAATGCTCCATGTAAAATCTTCAAAAATCTCGATGTGAATCTAGGATCTCGATCAGAAACAATTGAAACCGGTACACCATGTAATATAATAATCTCTCTGATGTACAATTCAGCATACTTATCCATGGAGAAATCAATTCTTACTGGAATGAAATGAGCTGATTTAGTCAATCTATCCACAATTACCCAAATTGAATCTCTTTTGTTTGGAGTCAATATCAGTCCCGACACAAAATTCATTGTCACATTCTCCAATTTCCATTGAGGAATAGACATTGGTTGCAATAGTCAAGACGATACTTGATTCTTAGTTTTTGACTTGCTGACAAGTCAAGCACTTAGACACAAATTCCGTAATACTTCTTTTCATTCATGGCCACCAATATCGACTCTTGAGATCCATATACATCTTGTTTCTACCTGGGTGCATCGTTAATGGACTACAGTGAGCTTCTATTAATAATTCATTTCTCATCTCATCATCATCTGGAATCACTAATCTTCCTTGGTAATACAGATTACCATCAGCTTTAATCTCATAATCATTAAGCTCTCTATTATTAACTTGTTGTAACCTCTTTAAACACTTCTCATCTTTATTTTGTAATTCCTTAATTCTATCTAGCCATGTTGGCTTAAGGGTCAATTCTGCACATATTGCACCATCTCCTTTTAATGACAACCTGGCATCTAAAGCTCGTAAGGCTACAAACGTCTTTTGACTTAAAGCATCTGTCACTACATTTGTTTTTCCAGGATGGAAATCGATTACCACATCATAATCTTTTAGAAATTCCACCCATCTCCTTTGTCTTAAATTCAATTCTTTCTGAGTCATCAAATATTTCAAGCTCTCATGATCGGTATATAAATAGC